GCTGTGGCGCAGTTTCATATCTCACCTGGTGCACTTCATTGGACTCTGTGACCAGCAGCGGCCGCTCCAGGTCGGTGCAGTTCAGTTCGGTCCTGTTCGGTGCTGTTCGGGTCGGTTCGGTCTGCCCCGTCAGAAACGCGCCGCAGGTCGCAGTTCGTCCGTTTTTATTCACACTTCGTTTCTTTTTTCAGCCATTTTAAAACACAGACGCCGTCCGCGCGCTCAGCCCCGCCCCCTGACACAGCGCGAGCGCAGACATCAGCCAATCAGTCCGCCGCTCACCGTGCCGTCCAATCAGAGAGCAGACAGGAAAGCGGAAGCGGCTGTGATGCGATGATGGAAGAAGCCCTGAGCGCTGACTGACAGGCATCATTGAAACTTCATTAATAAAATAAAGAAACAAAGAGAGCTTCTTGTTTTATTGTTGAACTAAATTAAATTAAATTAAATGGAAGAACAAAATATAGGAGTAAGAAGAGAAAGAAGAATAATCATTACTGATCTGTTGTACATATATATTCTCTATGTATTGTATAGCGTATGTAATGCATGTATATCATCTATGTATATATGTACACACACACCACAAACTGATGCAGTAAAGCAACAAACTAAAGTGTAAAAATCCACCAGAACATAACTCATGATGCGTGACACTCTAAATATTAATCCACCGACTGACTGTCTCCTGAGTGTTAAAACTAAATCTGCACTCAGTAATATGCATTAATATACATCTGTGTTTGTTTGTTTATTGAAAATCATAATCATTACACTTATTTATCTATTTTGTGTTTATTTCTCAATAATACCAAAAAGACAGAACAGAAGACTTTGCTGTTACTGTCATAAAATATAAATACAAGAAGACAGAACAGCAGTAAAATAGAGAATTAGATTGTTTGTCTCCAGCTAAATCTACGTTTCATGTCTTTTGACTGTTTAATAAAAATAACAGAAATATGAACAAATAGAGAAGAAAGCTTCCTCACAGGGAATCCTTGTCTTGTTTTGTTTTTTATGTATAGTTTTGTTTGGTATAATGTGTTTTAGAAAATCCTCTGTTATAATTTCTGTCTGCTTTATTTAACAACATGTGGCAACTTGGCAGTTTTTTTCCACAGTTCTTTTTGTTTTTGTCTTTTTAAACATTTTTACTTGTTTTTGAGCTGCACTGTATAAATACATGAAACCAGAAACCAGGATTTTTTTGTTTTTTTATTGATCCATCCATCATCTCTACACCTTAACCCTCACTAGGGTATCAGGGGGTGGAGTCTATCCCAGCTGACTCAGGGTGAAGGCAGCTTCACCTGGACAGGTAACCAGTCTATCACAGGGCTACACTTAGAGACAGACAACCAACTGTTGGTGTCCGTCTGTCTCAGAAGACAATGGAGTATCTGCGCCTTGGTCAGTCTGTTGTATTTGTGCAGCGCCTGCTGTCACTGTTGAGCCCGATGCGGGAGCAACAGATCTTCTGATATTTGCTGCAGGTGTAGTTGGTGTTAGTGGCGACGTGAGCTGGCTGGAGCCTCTGCCGGCTGCAGGTTCTCTTTTCTTCCCATTGGCTCTCCCTCCTCCCCTCGGCTTGTAGGATGCCAACCTCGACAGTAGAACACCAGTTGGTGCAATCTGACGTTGCTGATTCTAGGTCCATTGGGCCGACGCCACATGCCTCCAGGTCAAATTTGCAGACATTTTTGTATTGGAGGGTGGGCCACCCTGTGGGCTGCATCCCTGTGGCAAGCTCACCGTACAAAACAACTTCTGGGACGTGTCCATCATCCGTGTGGCAAACGTGGCCCAACCAACGCAACCGTCTCTGGGTCAGGATGGCGAACATGCTTGGCGCTCCCGTCTAGGACAGGACAACTTTGTTCGTGACACGGTCCTGCCAGGTGATACCCAGGAGTCGTCTGAGGCAGTGCATGTGAAAAGCATTCAGCCTGTGTTCTTGGTGGGAATACAGTCTCCAGGCTTCACTGCACTAGAGGATGGTACGCAGAACACAGGCTTGGTACACCTTCATCTTTGAGTTGGTTGCCAGCATGGTGTTGTCCCACACTCTCTTTGTGAGGCGGACCATTGCAGTTGCTACCTTTCCTGTCTGCACGTTTAGCTCAGCATTCAGTGATAGATCGCTGGAGATGGCTGAACCAAGGTAAGTGAAGTTTTCGACCACTTCCAGGGTGTGGTCGCCAATGGTGATTTGGGGTGCGCTACTGGACTTTGCGTACCTTCATCTTTGCTCAAAGGCGGGCCAAGTTGAAGAGGTTCCCATCGCTCATAGTGTGGAGGAGGATGCCATCTTTAGACTGTCGAAAGACATATCGCAGCACCAGGGAGAAGAACACGTTGAAGAGTGTCGGGGCCACGATACACCCTTGCTTCACCCCGCTCTTGATTGGGAAGGGGTCCGAGGATGAGCCATTGTACTGAACAGTGACAGCACGTGATCATCCTCAGGAGCATTGGAGGGCATCCGATCCTGTGTAGTAGGATAAAAAGGCTGGTTCAGCTGATCAAGTCGAACGCCTTGGTCAGGTCGATGAAGGCAAGGAACAAGGGACGTCTCTGTTCTCGACATTTCTCCTGTAGCTGCTGGAAGGAGAACACCATGTCAATTGTTGACCTTGCAGCTCATTAAGCACATTAAGATTTCCAGTTCTAGTGGGAGAAAAACACAGCCCCCCACTTCCTCGTTACCATGGTGACTCGTCGACTCGGAGCTCCATTGATGCTGGCTTTTTTATAGTTGTGATGCACGCGCTTAACTCCAGGTGAAACTTCTCTGAGTTGATTAAACTAACTCAGATCCACTGTTCTGGAACCGGAAACTCAGAGTTTTCTGTCTCAGAGGAGATCAACCGAGCGTTCAGGATCAGAATCAGAGTTTGTTGAACCTGCTTTGTGAAACGGAGCCCTGAGCACTTTAATCTCCCTACAGCAGAAGCATAAGGAGGTGCAGGCAGACCACAGTGACACGTAGAATGGTCTGACTGCGCCTCATCGTCATTCTGCTGTTCCCGTGATGGTTGCTTTAAAAAAAACTGCAGACATGAAGAAGTGTTTGTCTCCAGCTCCTAGGATTTGGGCTGGTGTCCTACAGCTGAAGAATAAAGAGCTGCAGCAGTAAATGTGAAATAAAACAAACTCAAACCCGGGAGTCTCTTCAGTGGTGAAATATTCTGAGCTGTGTG